GAAGATAGAATGGGCCACAAAGTGACACCCTATTCATGTCTCCGGGCGTGTGTGGCTATTCTGACTGTCCTTTCTCAGGGAAGCTCTGCACACCATAGTTAGCACTTACTAAGTACTTCCTATTTGCCACACACATTCTGTTCGAAGCACTTTGTATTAATATATATTAACTCATTTAATCCTCGGGCCAACCCTATGAGAGAAGTACTTATACTGTTGCTATTTTAAAAATAAGAAATCTAAGGCACAGAGGTTAAAATTTGCTCACATTCACACAGCTAGGAAGCAGAGGAGGCAGATTTCTAACCCACTAAATCCGGTTCCAAAATTCACACTCTTAAATGAACCTCTAATGCATACTGCCCATAATAACAGCCAACGCTGATTGAACATTAACTGCATGCCAGCCACCCAGCAAAGCCTCCCCATGACCCTTCCAGAGCACTAAGGAAATAGTCAGAACAGCTGCCCTTCACATACCTCGTCAAGTCCTGCACCTTACATACCTTATCTCACTTCAGCCTCACAACAGTCTTTTGTAGTAGGTATTTTTATCCCCATTTTACTATGGAAAAGAGTATAGAGAAGTTAGTAAGTAGCCAAACTGGGATTCAGACCCAGGTTTATGAAGCTCTGATCCCTGTGCTCTTAATCACTGTATTATTAGGTACTCACCCAGTTGGCAGAGTTTGACAATTGTTCTCAACAATGTTGGAGTCAGATCATCCTCAAATCTTGTCTCCTGAGGCAAAGAGGATCGTATCTCTTAATCAGAGAATGGCCCGGCTTCAGGATCCATGTTGTGTCATTTGCTGCCTACTCTGTCAAGAAGTTAACTCAGGGGCCAGGTGTGGTGGCTCACATCTGTAATCCTAGCACTCCAGGAGGCTAAGGCAGGAGGATCACTTCAGGTCAGAAGTTTGAGACCAGCTTGAGCAAGAGGAAGACCCCACCTCTACTAAAAATAGAAAAAGTTAGCCAGGCATTGTGGTGCATGCCTGTGGTCCCAGCTACTTGGGAGGCTGAGGCAGGAGGATCGCTTGAGCCCAGGAGTGGGAGGTTGCAGTGGGATACAATGATGCCTGCACTCTAGCCCAGGCAACAGAGCAACACTGTGTTCCAAAAAAAATAAATAAGTAAAAACAAGTTAACTCAATGTTTGTGTCTTCTGTTTGCAGTGCTCTTTGCTGGGAAAATTACGACTGGAATGTGCTGATCTTCTAGAAATGAGAGGAGTGGTCCTCCGTGACACATCTCTGTTCTCTTTCCTTTGGGTAGTGGATTTCCCTCTCTTCCTTCCCAAGGAGGAAAATCCCAGAGAACTGGAGTCTACCCACCACCCATTTACTGCTCCCCACCCCAGTGACATCCACCTCCTGCACACTGAGCCCGAGAAGGTACCAAATCTGTATTTCCAAATAAAAAGGAAATGTGTAAAAATGGCAAAGAACTTCAGATTTCACAGTCTGAAGATAGCTAGGACCCAGTTCTGGAAGCCCCAGAAGAAATTGTGGGGTTTGAGCCAGTAGTTAATACATTGTCTCTAAGTAGCTACAGCATCTTCAACCTATGGAACAGAAAGCCAGAAATTGTCTTTAACGCAAAGGCTCTTTGAATCTTCTAGGTGCGTAGCCAACACTATGACTTGGTTTTAAATGGCAGTGAGATAGGAGGCGGTTCTATCCGAATTCACGATGCAGAGCTACAGCGTTACATCCTGGCAACTTTACTAAAGGTAACAAACATCATCTTCTAACCTGGCCTTATTTTCTTTCCAGAGTATTTGTGAGTTTTGTTAAACATTTATTATGAATGGAGGATTCACCAGATACAAAATAGCTTCAGCTCATCTCTCTGCCTTCAAGGTAGGACTTGGGAAAGTAAACAGTAATAGCTTTTTATTAGTGCTTACTCTATACCAGGCACTGTTTCTTTATATGCATTGATGCATTTAATCTCCCAATTATTTTTTTGATCTTTTTTTCTCCCACCCTGCTCTTCCCAATTATTTAATACTTTATGAGATAGATACCCTTATTCTACCTATTTTAAAGATGAGAAACTGAGGCAGATTACTTAATTTGCCAAAGTCACACAGTACAGACTGTGCCGGATTCAGATCCAGGCAGGGCCGCTCTTTAAGCTAAACCGTTAATCACAACACTACTCAAAAAATGATGCAGTTCTGAAAATGTTGATAATGTAGAGAAAAAGAAGTTTGAAAGGATTTTGTATCACTTAATAGACACTACTTTAGCTATATTTAAGGTGGGGGGTGTATTTTGGTGATAGAGAATTAGGTAATCAAGATTTGAAAAAGAAAAAGAAGAGTCTGTACAGATGCAGACCTAGGAATTTGCAGTTGGTAATTCTGTAGAATGCTCTGGGATAGATTTTAGGAAGGAAAAGGTGTCCAAGAGAGTCTGGTCCTAAAAGACCATTTTGTGGCATTAACAGGTGTGAGGTAGAATGGAAGAACTTTATATGTGAGAGCAGGACTGGAGAGCTCAAACTGCCAGACTCTCCCGTTAGCCTTAAGGGCATCGTGAAATCTGTTAACTTTTCTCCTGCCCAGTCAAAGCCTCCAATCACCAGTTTTCAGCCTCTCGTTTTCATTCCTTTCATTGTCGGCCTTTTTGAAAGAGTCAGTAAGAATACATTGCTTCTGCTTCTTCCCTGAACACCTGCGGTTCTCAGCCCTGATGCACATTAGAATCAAATCACCTGGAAAGCAGTAAAAACAACAACAACAAAAACTCACTGGTGCCTGGGCCCATACCAGACCAAAAAAGCCCTACGTGTTTGTTTGCAGCTCCCTGGTTGGAGAACCATTTGCACACACACTTCTATACAACATTTCTGTACGTACTGCCCCAGGAAACTTACGGTTTCATGTAAGTTTGGGCCTCTTCTTAGCCCACAAGCTCCCCCACCTCCCACAGCATTCGACAATGCTGCCCTCTTACTAGTGTCCTCTTCCCTTGGTCTCTGTGACAGGACAGTTTCCTGCTTTTCATCCGCCTTTCAGAGTCCACATCTCCACCTCCTTGATTGGGCTTACTCTGTGCATCATCGGTACGGTAATGGCTGCGTTTACTGAGCACCAGCCATTTTTCTACATGTCGTAATCGTCTGTGACTTGTACTCCCTTGCTAAATTGTAAACTTCTTAAGATATTTTCTTACACTTTCCCAGTGAGTCATTATTAGTTAAGTCATGTTAAGGAATTTTTCTAACTCAACTTTATTTTCCCTAAGCCTAGTGTATGGCACTCAGTGGACCTTCAGTATATATTTAAACTGAATTATCTTTTGAATTTTAGGAAGATGTGAAATTGCTCTCCCATCTGCTCCAGGCGTTAGAATATGGGGCGCCCCCTCATGGAGGAATTGCCTTAGGTAAATAACTTGTCCTTTGATAAACTAAATTGCATTCCCGCAGCACTGTGTCTCAAAGCTGGCCTTGCAGCTTGTGGTGGTGGAGGAGGGGGAGATGAGCTCAGAAGTTCTATGAGAATTTAAGTTTCTGTTTTAAGTTTTTTTTTTGATACAGAGTCTCACTCTGTTGCCCGGGCTAGAGTGCCATAGCGTCAGCCTAGCTCACCGCAACGTCAAACTCCTGGGCTCAGTTGATCCTCCTGCCTCAGCCTCCCGAGTAGCTGGGACTACAGGCACGAGCCACCACGCCCAGCTAATTTTTTCTATTTTTAGTTGCCTGGCTAATATTTTTTCTACTTTTTAGTAGAGACGGGGTATCGCTCTTGCTTGGGCTGGTCTCAAACTCCTCACTTCAAGTGATTCTCCTGCCTCTTGGCCTCCCAGAGTGCTAGGATTACAGACGTGAGCCACCATGCCCAGCCTCATATTTTTAAAATATATTTTATCAGTTATAAAGATAAAATCTAACTGATAATTTGCATTTGAAAGATTTTTTAATAGAATAAAACTGCAGGGTCTTAAGTAAATACTTCCCAAATCTCTGAGACCTCACAGACATATTCTCTGGCGTCTGGGAAGCACTGCTCCACAGTAATCAGCTTGTATAAAAATAGGAATGTGCCAGTGTCCTGATTACTGTGGTTACTCACTTCACTTGTGGATTTTTTTTTTTTTTTTTGAGACAAGGTCTCACTCTTGCCCCAGCTAGAGTGCAATGATGCACTCATAGCTCACTGCAACTTCAAATTCCTGGGCTCAAGTGATCCTCCCCCTTGGCCTCCCAAGTAGGTAGCACGATAGACGCACGCCACCACTCCCGGCTAATGTTTTTATCTTTTGTAGAGATGGGGTCTCACTGTTACTCAGGCTGATCTCGAACTCCTGGCCTCAGGGATCCTCCTGCCTCAGCCTCCCAAAGTGTTAGGATTGCAGGCATGAGCCACCGACCCTAGCCACTTTGCTTCTTTTATCAAGTGAAGAAAAGTGATAAATTCTAGGAAGATCACCTATATTGTGAGGCCCTCAAAGTGAGAAATTCTAGGAAGCTCACCTATATTGTAAGGCCCTCAACAGTAGGGACTTCCTTCTGTGTTTTTGGAGTTCCCTGCAGAGCACCTAGTATATCGTTCAACCTGTATTGGTGCTTTTAGTAAGCCCTTGCTAGGAACTTGCTAATTGCTGTGACAATTACAGTTTCTAGTAATCCTAGTAGCATGAGAACACTAGTCCTGAATACTTTTCCAGACTGATATAGAAAAGAACCTCTCAAACAAACACAAGTTCTTTAAAAAGGCAGGGAACTAGCTGGTGGTGGTGGCTCACGCCTATTATCCTAGCACTCTGGAGGCCGAGGCCAGAGGATCACTTAAACTCAGGAGTTCAAGACGCCCCTGAGCAAGTGAGACCCCCCATCTCTACTAAAAACAGAAAAATTACCTGAGTGTGGTGGCACGCACCTGTAGTCCCAGCTACTCGGGAGGCTAAGGCAGGAGGATCGCTTGAGCCCAGGAGTTTGAGGTTGCGGTGAGCTATGATGATGCCATTGCACTCTAGCTGGGGCAACAGAGCAAGACTCTGTCTCAAAAACAAAAAAAAGGCAGGAAACTATGGTTGGCTATAGCTTCTTAAAGATTTTTATTTACAGCTGGGTACAGTCGCTCATGCCTGTAATTCTAGCACTTTAGGAGCTGAGGCAGGAGGATCACTTGAGGCCAGGAGTTCAAGACCAGCCTGAGCAAGAGAGACTCTGTCTCTACAAAAAAAAAAACATTCTTATTTAAAAGTTCTCTGCAACTTTTATGGAAAAACTCAGGAATTTTCAACGTTAGATTACATTTCTCATCTGCTCTCTTTGTATTTTATTCACAGGGTTAGACAGACTGATATGCCTTGTCACTGGAGCTCCAAGTATCAGAGATGTCATAGCCTTCCCCAAATCCTTCCGGGGACATGACCTCATGAGCAGCGCCCCAGATTCTGTCCCTCCTGAAGAACTGAAGCCCTATCATATCCGGGTCTCCTGGCCAACAGACTCAGAAGCAGAGAAGAGTTCATTGAATCACCCGCACCATGCAAAAAGTTGAGCTTTTGAGTTTTGTCCTCTTTGCTTCCCCAAGGCTAAACTCAGATGCAGAGTTGAGCCACAGATCTGACCGTCCTCTCTGTAGGTGGAAGGAATCCAGGCAACATTCTTCACCACAATGAAGAAACCCAATTCTGACTTGATCACATGCATCATTAAGATTATTCTTAGTCGAGACTTTTTTGAAGTTCTTTTTTACTTGGAGAGGTGTGAAAGATAGCTCCTTGTTGGAATATTATACTGGATTTTTGTTTTTTAATCATGTTTTTCATACCCAGATAGATCACTCATTTAGGACAAAGGTAATCAAATCATGTCTTAAAATGTGGGAGAATGCTTGCCCCTGTAGTCAGTTGATGGAGGGTTCAGTTCATCAGCCTCATCAAGAGAATCATATAAATTAACGTTTTTATAGTGATATTTCAACTATAAACATAATAGAGTGAGAAGTAGCATAATAAAATGCAAAGACATCATTGAAATGAGAGTCACAAAATCTTATTCATTGTTTCACCTTGAGCAAGTTACATAAACCTTTTTTAGCCTCCCTTCCTGCTTATGTAAAACACAAACAATATTTGCTCTGGCTACCTCACGGGGCTCTTGTTGCCAGAATCAAAGGAGATAATTATATGTGGAAGATAATGTGAATGAAAATGCTTTGAAAAACTACAAAGCATTGCACAAATGTAAGATGATGATATTTTCTACCCATAAACAGATACAGATATATCTATATATAGTTTAAAATCAAACAAAACATATATCTGTACTAAAAGAACAGTTTTATGAATCAGTATTATGTTTATATTTCCATTTTTAAAGATAATAATTAATCCCTGAATAATATTTTCTCTCAATCATAACTACTGGCCAGGCTCAGTGGCTCACGCCTGCAATCCCCACACTGGGAGGCTGAGTCTGCAGTGAGCTATAATTACACCACTCTACTCCAGCCTGGTGACAGTATGAGACCCAGTATCTTAAAAAAAAAAAAAAGGCCAGGCTCAGTGGCTCAGGCCTATAATCCTAGCACTCTGGGAGGCCAAGGCGGGAGGATTGCCTGATGTCAGGAGTTCGAAACCAACCTGAGCAACAGCAAGACCCATCTCTGCTAAAAATAGAAAAAATTATCTGGGCAACTAGAAATATAAAAAAAAAAATTAGCCAGGCATGGGAGGCTGCGGCAGGAGGATCGCCTGAGCCAGGAGTTGGAGCTTGCAGTGAGCTAGGCTGATGCCACAGCACTCTAGCCTGGGCAACAGAGTAAGACAGAATCTCAAAAAAAAGAAAATAATAATTGACCTTAGACCAACCTCAAATGTATAAAAAAGACAACATGGAAGCTCATTGTGATCTTCTTATAAATTCTAATGATACAAATAAAAACTATAATAAATAATAATTGTAAGATGGGAACAAGATCTCAATTAATGATTTTGAAATTGTTCTTTTCTATTTGATCTTCACTTTTACCTTGATTTCTTGATTTATAATTTATAAATACTAACTGTAAGTTTTATATCCCTTCCTGTTTTTCTCAGTGCTCTAAGCAATATGATATTATTAAATATAATCGTTTGCTGTTTAAAAACAAAATAAGATTCACCTTCAGGTCTAATTTGTGACACTGAATAGGCTACAGTGAGTGTTCCCTACTGCAGGAAGCTGGTTTGCCATTAGGTGGAGCTTTTCCCTAAATTTGCCCTTTTACCTAATCTCTCCCTTGTTTGTGGGTGTACTCTGCAGCCAGAGTCCTTCCTGGCAGGGTTCTTCGGGTGAGACAGGGTGTCCAACTCTGCCTGCCCTTTCTCAGTGAAGAGAATTTCTAGAGATGCCCTTTATTGGGTAGGAAAACAGAATTTTACATCCATCTGTACCACATGGGTATTCTCTAATTTCTAAATATAATAAATTCCTGATTCACTATTTAGAGCCTAATTCTGACCAAAGTATTGTCTTTCTATCCTAGAATTGAGACTTATAAAAGATGCCCAAAATCCAGAGAGTATTTTTTAGGCTACAAATACTAAAGGCTATAGGTTCCCAGGAGTCAAAGTATCCTATCTTAGTATCTCACAGATCTAGTCACTTTGGGCATTAGTCAGCTTTTCATCAGACCTGTGATGAAGAAAAAATGCTTATTCTGAAATCCAGGAAAATGTCACTCTTTAAGACTTCCATCAGTGAGGTGGGGTGAATTCTTTTTTTCTTTTTTTTTGGTTTCTTCTACTACCCATTCTGTAGGTGGGGTAAAATTTAAAATTAAACATTTCCACAAAAGTTAAAGAAATATTTACTGAAGTTGAAAACAACACGACCAGGATTTTGGAATGCACAAATTAATTGTAAACTGAAAGTGAGTTTATTTCAAATCCAATCCCTTGAACTTCCTAGGGAATTGTTGCAAGTTTTAAAAACAAGGTAAGCAATTGCCAGCTACAACAGAAACAGTCATTATAAGCTTCAAGAGAGCTCTGTCCTATGAACAATTTCTCCTTGGTAAGAGATGCATCAGGCGGTATTGTTTTATGCTCTTGGGCTTTAACTGAATAAAACGATGGATCTATACAGCTATTCTGTCTTCTCCCAGAGTTCCCTTCTCTTAGGAACCAGAACTATCTATGACCACATTCCTTTCTGCTGACTTTTTGTTAAGCATAATTCATCATCCTAACGATGCTGCGCTAAGGACAGTTTTTTCTTATTTCAAAGAAGGTGAGTTACTTCATAACAGAGTTAACCAAGTATACAATAAAAATATTAAGTGGGGTTATCTGTGTAACAGTTGCATATGTAAGTCGTGCAGTAAATGCACATCTAAGTTTTCTGTATTTAAGACTATTGACTTAGAAAGAACTTGTGTGAATTAGACATACCTGGACTTAATTCCCAGCTTTACCACTTTCTAGTTACGCAAACTTGGCCCGGTTACTTATCCTTGCTAGGCTACTCCTGCTGCTTCACTTGGAACAGCAGTTCTCAAAATTTTAGTCTCAAGACCCATTATACACTTTAAAAGCTATTGAGAGGCCAGGCTCGGTAGCTCACGCCTGTAATCCTAGCACTCTGGGAGCCCAAGGCGGACAGATTATTTGAGCTCAGGAGTTCGAGAGCAGCCTGAGCAAGACCCTGCCTATACTAAAAATAGAAAGAAGATGGACAACTAAAAATATATAGAAAAAATTAGCCGGGCATGGTGGCACATGCTGTAGCCCCAGCTACTCAGAAGGCTGAGGCAGGATTGCTTGAGCTCAGGAGTTTGAGGTTGCTGTTGAGCTAGGTTGACCCCACTGCATTCTAGCCCGGGCAACAGAGTCTCACTCTGTCTCAAAAAAAAAAAAAAAGCTTTGGGTGACAACATGGCTAGTTAGCAAGGCTTGAACAATGAATCCACACACAAAGCATCAGAACTCCCAACAGACCATTTTTGCAAGAGGTGGCCATTTTTAATCCAGAATCATCTCTTTGACTAGGTCTGTCACCCAGCCTCAGCCTCCTAAAGTAGTTAGCTCCAGGCACGAGCCACTGCACCCCGCTAATCCTGTAGAGACAAGGTCTTGCTATGATGCCCAGTCTAGTCTCAATCTCCTGGGCTCAAATGTTCTGAGAATCACCTTGTCTCCCAAAGTGCTGGCATGGGCCACCACCCCCCAGCCTATGTTACTTTCTGAAAAGGTGCTTTTCAAGCCATCAAAAGATGAATGCTTAGCAATCTGTAGACCACTTAAGCACTAAATTGTGAACCAAGCGGGTATCTTTAAACAGGCAGGTATTTAATTCTGCCAGAACCCAGAGCTAGTACAGGGTCTCTTCAGGAACTTAAGTTCCTGGCAATTCACAAGCAGTACTAGCCTTATTGACCCACGTTGAATTTTGAGCTCTTGATCATCTTTCCCTTTGAGCATAGACCGTTTGAGGAAAATCACTTTTATTTAAATAGACAGTTATATATACACCCCTTACATCCCACAATTTTTGGTATTTATAAAGGCTTGCCAAGAGGCTATGGATGCAGATCTTTTATAATTCCATGGTGGGCTTTCTAGACAATATGTAGTCTCTGGGAAAAATTGAATACAACCTAGTCCAAAATTATCTTTTTTCTAGGCTCTGGCTCACTCTCCACAACCTTTTCAAAGTTGCCTTTCAGATCAAAGCTTTAGGCTCAAAACCAATTATCTAGGGATTTCATTAATAAAGAATTCTGCAAATTATATGGTTCATTCTCAAAACATCTTAGTTCACAAAAATCAGTAAGCAAAAAGCCGTGAGTCTTAATGATCTGTGTTTATTTCCACTTAAAATTAACAGGCAAGGGAACAACTAAAACATCCCTTCATTTTATTGGGTTAACTTTCGTTCTTTCATCCCATTTGGAATAACCAGTCCTCCAGATAGTTTGCAGAACTTATTAAGATTGAAAGATGTTGTTTACTCTTTCCGTCAGCATCCACGAAAGTACCTGCAACAAAAACCACTTTCAGCCACATTTCTGGATTTCAATTTCGATGGCAACTGGCGAACACAGAATATCAGATCTTTTGTTGGCATCAGGTAATCAGTGAGAGAGTTCAAGTTGGAGTGAGATCATCATGTATTCTGGAATAATGATAGTGCTATTATTTTCAATCCTCACCTTTTAAAGGGTAAGTTGCATGCTCGCTGTGGTCATATGAAATCCCTGAAAAGCAAAGATTTACATATAAATCATGGCAAAAAAAATTTCTGTGTCTTATCTGTTAATACAGTAACCTCAGAATCAAAATGGAACGGTTTTTAAGTGATATCATTCTATTTCATTTGGCAGAATCATTACATCATTGGTTACATTCCAAAGTAAACTATGTACCAAAACCGACTTACCTAGAAGTTTTTAGAAGGTCTGCCTGTTTGAAGATGAAAAACAATTCCATTTAAATTTGGCTCTACTCAATTATTCTTTTGAAGTCACACCTTAACTTTTTAAAACTGCCCTGCCACTCCAATCCAGATTAATCCAAATCCCCTGAACATTTGCTATGGGATAGTTAAGTAGCTACAATTTTACCTTTCAAGGGTATAAACTGGAACTATTACAGCCAGATACATCAGATAGGAGCGAAAGACTTAATACTGCTCATCAGTGTTAGTCTGCTGAACTATGTTATCATCATTGTATCGGCTTTAGACTACTTAACAAAACCCATACTGAGATTCCAATACCTTTTCTGAAAACTTGCTCCATGCACTGTTGTCAAGCTGACTCTTCACACCTGCAGAAATTTACTCTAATTTAGCAATAGGTACTTAACAGGTAGATTTCTAAAAAATTTTCCAATTACTGTTTCAGTTCCAAATTAATCTTCATTCTCTTTCAGAGAGATTCCCATCTGTTGTTACTTTAAAAGTCATCACTAACAGCATCTTCCTAAATAAACACGTAAAGACAAATAAAATATATACCTTGAAGGTTCTAGCTGGGCTCGGTGGATGCGTGCCTGTAGTCCCAGCTACTCAGGATGAGGCAGATCACTCAGCCTGCGAAACAGGGAGACCTTGCCTCTTAAAAGTCTCCAAAATCTTCACCTGAAATAAGTATTCCTTTAGATGCCATTTCCTAAGTTGAAGACCATTTACAAAGTAGTATTCATACATTTACTTTTTAAAAAATGTATTTAAAACTTTCATTAAACTGTTTTAATATAGTAATTCAATACTATTCACTTTTCAAAACTTTGTCCATTGGCTTTTTATCACAAGAGAACTCCCTAACACAGTTAACTAGTAAGACCACATTTCAGAAATGCCAGGTATTGTCGTTATGTTCTTACCCAAGCAAGCTGTCCATGGAAAAAAATATGTAACCAGTAGCTACAAGAAAAAAATGAGAACCTTCTTTAAAATGCTATATATTATTAAACTCTGTTCAGAATAGTTTGTTACAGGGTTCTTCAGTGTTAAATATGTCTACATGCTCATTTCAGGTCAGACATTTGATCAACATCATTACAAAAACCCCATTCGGAGCATGCACAAAGAAAACACAAAGTTAGCATTCATTAGTCAAATATAAGCTTGTAAATCTCAAGTAGCCACTTGCTCAGCAGTAAGTCCATCACTCAGCACTGTAAGCCCTGTAGCTACTGTAATGTTTTCCATTAACACTTACCCAAAATATAAAGCTGGTCCAGACAAGTCAGACTCCATCTAAGAAACGAAAGAGTGGTTTCAGAATAGTTACACATGAATTTCCTCCGCCCAAGATTAAAAATGGCCTGAAATCAGTTAGAGCTAATTAAGACCTTCATGTTCAGTCAGTATTTGCTTTATCATCATCCAGGCTGCATTTACAAATTCTGACAGTGTTTACTAATGGTAACAGGACAAGGATCTCAGCTACTCAATGTTTACTGTACATTAAGAATGTTAACTCTTAAAAAGCTGTTTGTGTCCAATTACCTATGCATACTTGGATTGTAATTTTACTTACCATTTCAGCCTCCAGCTTTCTTTTCAGTGCCTAAAAAACAGATTTTAAACACAAAATAAATGAGAAATAGATTTTAAAGGTGGCACTACTTACATTTGTTAGCAAACCCTAACCACCCCAGATACATCAGACAAATGGTAAATCTCTTCATGATTCAATCTGCTGAACTATGCAACCATCACTGTATCTGTGTCCTCTGGTTTCCCACAGATTAAATTCTTATCAGAATAATAGCAGTTCACATTTGAAAATAAGAGAGGGAAAAACTAATACATAAGCATCAACGTCATTCTGGCTATTTTCCTAAAGAAAAAGTGGGAAGTACTGGGTGAATACTGATTTTTCATACAAAAGTTTCTCACCTGTGTGTTCACAGCTACAGTGAGGCTTGCTGTTTAGGACCTGAGAAGAAACAGCTTCTTGTTAACTTAGGGGTAATTTCCACGCTTCCCAAATCACCATTTTGTGTGCCTCAGTTAAGGTAATGGTGGTTAAGATTCTCGTCATTCTCGCAGTCAAGAGTAGCAAATAAACTGTCATCATTGTGGCACATTCACTGACTTTCAACCTAACTTCCCTTTCAGTGGGCATTTCAATAACTTACCTCCGCGGCTCCTCTCATCACTCGTTTGGCAGGTAACTAGAAAACAGGCAAGATGCAGGTTAGAACCGCATTGCAGCCAAGTTGAATAAATATCAATGTTCCAAAAATTAAAGCCTCAGAATGGAATTTCAGAAATCCCTTCTGTCCACTACTCTTAAAACCATCACAGGCTTAATGAAGACCACCTTTAAGCAAATCTCCCCTTTTCCACCAAATTTTCCCCCATTCTTACCTGTCCGTAACAAGTCATCAAAAGCCACACTGCATCCAAGCCTACCACCATCCCTAAGGAAAAAACGAGGTGATTTTAAAATCACTGTTCCCACGTTGCTATCACGTTTCTGTTACCACTTACGCAATTGACTTTTACCACCCGTAACTGCACGACAGGTAAGGGAGGCACTTAATGTTACAAAGGAGAGCACTGCACCCAGTTAACCACAGATGGCAACTATGGCGGCACTGCGAAATGGAGCCACTTGGAATCACGTGGACTAACACACCACCCGCCTTCCCGAGAACGAGCGGCTGACGGTGGCTCGGGCCGCGTCCTACACAAAGGCCCACTCAGTCCACTCCTCGCGTTCCGCCATCAGAGCAGTTGGCATTCATCAGCATTCTCAGATGTCCCTACCAACACAGGCTTCATCAGAGGCAGGGAACGCGAGCCGAGGTTTGTCCGCCGTTCGGCCCCAACAACCCTCTAGGGTCGCGCCTGCACCAAATGCGCAATCCCTCACCATCGTCCTCTTGGGGACACTGTAAAGCCGCGCGACTGGCCTAAAAGTGCCAGTCAGTTTAGCCCGACAAGGGCTGGAGGACCGAGGATCCGAACCAGTAACCAGTTACTCACTTAACGCCCCGCAAAACACTACTTACCGTGAGCAGACGCCCAGCTTCGAAAGAACGATATGGCGCCCGGGCTATCCTATATAAAGGCTCTTTTGATGACGTCATGACGCACCGTCCCGCCAGCGTCCGCTTCAGCCCCTCCCTTTTTCCTTCCTTCGATCTCCACCTCCTCTTCCAGGCCCACCTCCTCCCGCCCTCTAAGCCCGCCCCTTGGCCCCGCCCTACCCCGCCATTGTGGGCGGAGACAAGACTGCCCGGGTGACGCAGGGCTCCCGCCCTCCACCCGACAGAGGAGGAAGAGCAGAGAGGGGAGGGGGCGCGAGGCAAGCAAAGCGCTGGGGGAGGGGAAAGGGGGGGTGGTGTAAGGGTGAGTGATTTCCTTCCGGCACGTCGCCCGCTCCGGGGGAGGGGGTGGGGGGTTTCACTTCCGGGACGGTGTTCCGGCCCATTCCGGCCCATTTCCACCCCCGGAGGTAGGTGCTGCTCCTTGACTGGGGTCGGGCCCCGCACCCCGGTCCCGGTGCCCTGCACCGGGGCCCTCTCGCCCCGTCTCCGCCGCAGTCCGCTTCTGGGGCGCTCAGCCACTTCCCTTCACCCCGCCTGAAGGCACCCGGCGACCTCCTACCCCCTCGGCCCCCGGCTGGGCTGAGCCGCAGGACCCGCCCCCTCGCGGGGCCCCTCCCTCAGGACCCCGGGATGGGCGGCCCCCTCCCCCACCGCCGCCGGGACACACCCAGCTACACACACCCACCTCGGGGCAGCTCCCCGCCCGCCAACGCCTCCCGCCTGGACCGGGTCCCGGGGCGCCGCCCCCTTCCTAATCCTTTGCGCTCACCTGAGCACTCCCTCCCCGGCCCGACGCCTTGCTCCCCTCTTCTCCAGAGTTCCTCAGTGACATTTCGCCCTTCAGCCAGTTCGCATCTCCCCATGCCTCCTAACGCAGACGAAAGCTGCTCAAGTGCCGGAGTGGCCAACCCCATGCCGTTCCCGATTCTCCCTCTTACAGCCGACGGTAGAGAAAGACTACTCCAGGGGCTTCCTCCTCACTGGGGAATTGCCGGGAAGAGCAAACAAAAAAGGCGCTGGTGTAGGCTCCAAAATAAACACATCTGAATTCATGATGGCATCGACAGAGGCTCTTATTGGATTAAAAGTTTCAAAACAAACAATAACGCTTTGGAAAAAGGTCAGATTGGCTAAAGTTGGTTCTTGAAAGCAGTGTATACACTTCCCTATTTACTGATAAGTGTGTTGTAAATGCGGGGCAGGGCTGTGAGCTTGTCATGAAAAGTTCAAGTTTCAGGTCTTATGTAACTGTGTAATATCTTATAAGTTCATGGATAAGTGGATGCGCATTGGGCTCCAGTCAGTGTCACCTTGTTAGAATTTATGCAGACTTCTCTCAACTGTCGAAGACTTTTGGATGCAGTTTCAGCCTTAGTGTTTCAGCTATTTTTTAAAAATATTTTAATGAAAAAATTTTGGGCATACTTGGCAAATGCTCTATTTTTTTTACCACCTCTGGGGAACTAAATTTCAGAATCAAAGCATCATCACCACCCTGAAATTTCCAACCTTGAATTTGGATAGAGGCAGATATATGTAACTTTTCCGAATTCTGAGAACTGGACTTCAGGTTCTCTACATCTTGATTGAGTCCTGACACAGCTGTTGAATTTTTCCTAACCTGTTTGCCTCCAAGTCCTATACCCAAAGCCTTTTTGTGGAGGCTCTGACTCTTAAGCTTAGAAGTATCGGCCTGCATTCATGTGGGATATTAGTCACTTTATAAGCATAACTCATGCAGTATGTAGTAAAATATTAAGAAGAGGAATATTTAATCAAGCCATCTGTGTAGAATTACATTTATTCAAAAAGCTTATTCCTTTCCTCCTGCAGAGAAGAGTTGTAAAGTTGTTACAGGATTTTATATTGTCTGCAAATACCTTATGGCTAACACTTAAAAAAAAAAAAAAGTGCTTCCCCCCCCCGTTTGAATTTCTGTTTTGATGTTGTATACAGTCATAGCTTGAATTTTTAGGAGTCTAACGATCACTTTTTAGTCTTAACTGTATCCTCCTGTGAAACCTAGACTAAAAACCTGTTGGTAATTCTATTTCCACATCTAAACATAAGGAAAGTATCTCTTTTTACTTGGAGATTTTGAAACTTTACCAAATGATATTTTTAAATATGTTTGAACTGCAAAGCATCGAGTGGTAAAATTATAATTATTAATGAGATTATGGTTTCTTCTTCTAGCAGGGTTGAATGCTTGCCTGCACCCTCAGGCACGACCATGGAGAAAGGTGGGAACATACAATTGGAGATCCCTGACTTCAGCAACTCTGTCCTGAGCCATCTAAACCAGCTGCGCATGCAGGGCCGTCTCTGTGATATTGTGGTCAATGTGCAAGGACAAGCTTTTCGGGCTCACAAAGTGGTACTGGCTGCCAGCTCCCCCTATTTCCGGGATCACATGTCCTTGAATGAGATGAGTACTGTCTCCATTTCAGTCATCAAGAACCCTTCTGTTTTTGAACAGCTCCTTTCTTTCTGTTACACAGGGCGGATATGCCTGCAGCTGGCAGATATCATCAGCTACCTAACAGCCGCCAGTTTTCTGCAGATGCAGCACATTATAGACAAATGTACACAGATCCTAGAGGGAATTCATTTCAAAATCAATGTGGCTGAGGTTGAAGCAGAATTAAGTCAAACAAGGACAAAGCATCAAGAGAGACCTCCGGAGTCTCACAGGGTTACACCAAATCTCAACCGCTCCCTTAGCCCACGACATAATGCCCCAAAGGGAAATCGGCGAGGTCAGGTTAGCGCTGTGCTGGATATCAGAGAGCTGAGTCCTCCTGAGGAGTCCACCAGCCCTCAGATAATCGAACAGAGTTCTGATGTAGAGAGCCGGGAGCCCATTCTTCGGATCAACCGCGCAGGACAATGGTATGTGGAGACAGGAGCAGCAGACCGGGGGGGTCGGAGTGATGATGAAGTTAGGGTTCTTGGAGCAGTACACATTAAAACTGAAAATCTGGAGGAGTGGCTTGGGCCTGAGAATCAGCCTTCCGGAGAAGATGGGAGTAGTGCAGAGGAAGTCACAGCCATGGTGATTGATACCACAGGCCATGGTTCTGTAGGACAGGAAAATTACACTTTAGGGTCTTCAGGAGCCAAGGTAGCTCGGCCAACAAGCAGCGAAGTTGACAGGTAAGTTTTCTTTTTGTTTTGTTTTCCCATCTAATGGCTATTGTGTAGACATTACTAAAGTGGGCCCTCGGTGGTACAGAGAACATCTTCCTTGCCTGATGTTCTTAGCCGAATAAGTTGATGTTGGGGAAATTGGAGGTGTACCAAAAGACTTGCATTCTTATTTTTTTAAAGCAGGAAGCTCCTAGTCCTGAAGTATTCACAGTGTTGTGAGAACTATGGTAAAGTTAGACACTTCCATGAATCAGAATAGCATCTGCAGCCACACTAGGATCAGTAATTGCCAGGGCTTCCTCGCGATTCCAGGCAGGGAGCTGATCATCAGCTGGGAACCTGGCAGCATTGCCCTTCCTTGGTATGTTATCACACAGGTAGGTGGCCTCGGGGAGTTTCACTTTCCTTTGTAGCACTGTTTACTTTTCTTTGCCCCATTTACCAAATTAGAGGAAGTATGGTACCAGCAGTAATTGTTCTATTCAAACTAGTAAAACATGATAATTCCAAAGAAACTCTTTTTGGATGTTTTTCATTTCTTTTTTCACATGTCATTTGGTGATATCTTTGCTGTTTTCTTTCATGGGTGACTGCTGCTACCACAGACTTGAGAGTCTTCTTTTTTTCACCGGCGCTGCTATGCTCTCTGCCTCACTTTTCCCTTTCTAATACATTGAATTTGTTAGAACATTTGTTTTGGTGGAAATAGCACGAGTTTTAATCTAAGTCAATTGAAAGAAAGTCCTAACTGAAAGAAAGAAATATTACTAATTGAGATTGGTAATATTTGTTCTTTCCCTCTGTTAAAAATAAATTAAAATTAACCATATGAGCAATGAAAACTAAAGAAGCTATTACTTTGATTCATATCTGGTCTTGAGAGGCAAACGTGTCACAGACGTTCAGGTAGTACATTCTGTGTCTACTTCAGGTAGTCTTAATTTGAGTATTTTCCTTCTTATGTCCTTAATGGTTAAAATATTCTTGAGCGTAGAACTTACTGCCCTCCTATGTTAGCACTATTGTCCTCCTGTATTAGAACTATATCTGAAGTGATACTAGGCCAGGTGTGGTGGCTCACTCCTGTAATCCCAACACTTTGGGAGGCCTAGGCGGCAGGATCACTGGGCCAAGAGTTCGAGACCAGCCTAGACAACATAGTGAGACCCTGTCTCTACAAAAAAATTTTTTAGCAATCAGCCAGGCGTGATGGTGCACGCCTGTAGTCCCAGGTTCTTGGAATTCTGAGGCAGGAACATCGCTTGAGCCCAGGAGTTCTATTGAGGCTGCAGCTGTAGTGAGCTATGATCCGCACCACTGCACACGCCAGCCTGGGTGACAGAATGAGACCTTGTCTCTAAAAAAAAAAAAAAAAGAAAGAAAAGAAGTAATACCAGCTTAAATGCAAAGATTTTTAATCTCCATGATCTATATCAACAATCTGAAATGTATAACAGGTTATCATGGGGCCTGGGGGAAGAAACAACCAAAAACCTAATAGTTACAGGGAAGAAACGAAATTATATGCTCAGTTTTAACTTATTCTTTTACAGTCTCTCAGTACTTGTGTAAGGATAGAAATCTTATATTTAGCTTTAGCTTCACCAGCTCATATGGTCTGTCTGCTATGTCATCTTGCATTTCATTTATATTCACTAGGGCAAACCTTTACCTTATTTCAAATCAGATCCTGTATTGACTCTGTGAAAGTATTTCTCAGTTACCTGTCGTTTGGTTTATTCCCCCTTCCTCAGCCATAGAATAAAGAGGGGAGATATCACCATTTTTTAAGTTCTTTGACACTACTCTTCTATTAGTCCCCTTTATGCTCCTCTTCCGACAGATTTAGCCCCTCCGGCAGTGTCGTTCCCCTGACAGAGAGACACAGAGCCAGAAGTGAGTCTCCTGGGAGAATGGATGAGCCTAAGCAACCCAGCTCCCAGGTATGTAGTTGTGGATTTAGGATTGCCGTGGTGGTTGGAGGAATTGCCACTGTGTCTGAGTAGAATATAATGAATAAGAAAGGAAAGATGTAGGAGAGGTAATAGTGGCCCTGTTAAAGTATTGTACTTGATTACTTTTTTCTTTATTCTTGCTTGTGAGCATTCAGGAAATACACTTTTGGTGTCAGCAGAGTTTGGGAAGAAAAAAAGATAACAAGATTGTGAAACTCGGCCGGGCGCGGTGGCTCACGCCTGTAATCCTAGCACTCTGGGAGGCCGAGGCGGGTGGATTGTTCGAGCTCAGGAGTTCGAGACCAGCCTGAACAAGAGCGAGACCCTGTCTCTACTAAAAATAGAAAGACATTAATCGGACAACTAAAAATATATAGAAAAATTAGCCGGGCATGGTGGCGCTGGCCTGTAGTCCCAGCTACTCAGGAGGCTGAGGCAGGAGGATCACTTGAGCCCAGGAGTCTGAGGTTGCTGTGAGCTGGGCTGACGCCACCGCACTCGAGCCCAGGCAACAGAGTGAGACTCTGTCTCAAAAAAAAACGGCAGTTACTGCAATTAGTATCTTAAGGAAAGTGTTATTAAGGAGCTTTTAAATACAGTTGTTAAAGAAGTTAGGAGGAGATAACTCCATACGTAAATACAATAGGGATAAGAACTGGACTTCTGCAAGAGTGTTTACCTGGCTGAAGCAAAAGTACGGGCTGTAGAGAAATAGGAGATAGGTCGTAACTGTGTGGGGATGATATTGGGGTGATAGACATGACTTAACGTGTGAAAGTTTATTATGGTGAGTCTGCTCACCAGTCATTTCCCCCTACCACAGAGAATCAAAACAGGCAAGGACTACTAAAGTTACACCTTTACTCTAAAATATGCTGAAGCTTTTTCTACTATATGAGGTTAAAATACTTGGCTTAATTTTCCAGGTAATTTATAATTTTCTAACCCAACTTTTCCTACGACCCATCAACATTCACTGTCTGTGTCAAACAGACTTTCTCCATGTGTCAGAACCACATCAAACTTACTTCTCTCTCTGCATCTTGAGTCTGAGGTGCCTCATTCATCCCAGGTGTCTGGGTCCAGCGAAGGCCCAACACCTACTTTTATCTGCCCTAACTAGCCCAGTCCTATTTGAGCTTTCTTTCTTAAGCCACTATTACAGCATTTACAAAATACAATATAATTTTTCCTAATTCTCAAGACTCATATAAATTATTCCTTTCTTATTGCTTTACTTTTGTGCCTCCTATTAAATTGAAAGTTCTTTGAGAGCAGAGACCACATTTTCTAATCTTTGTATCTCTGACATTGCCTTATCAGGTGCTCAATTAACAGGAGTTGTTTTACCTCTAAGTAATTCTGACTAACTAAGGTTATTTAGTAGGTGCCCAATAAATAGGTACCTACTAAATAGGGGGTTATTTAGTTACTTGTGAAATCCCTAATTTTAGAGATCTTTAAATAACATTAATACAGCAAGTTATTTTTGAAGCCTCCTCAGTTCTTTGAGTCTCTGATTAGTCATTGAAGATAAGGATGGTGGAAGGGTTTGAAGTCCATGTCAAGAATCTAGACTCATGTTTGTTTTGGAAATTATAGAAATCATTTATTTATATGGAATAATTCATTAAGAAATAATTATTGAAGCAGGCATTGATCAAATTCCTGGATATTTAACAATGCAGAATGTGCCTGTGCTTAAAGAGTTTACACTCTAATAAGTAATTGCCAAGTGGGAAGAGTGAAATGATCCACCTCTTAGCAAAAGAGAGAACCAGAAGGCAGCCATTTTGCTCTTGTTTCTGTTTAAAGTTGAAAGCAGTAAAACTACCACAGATAAGTTTCTGCCTTTGACGAGGACCCAATTTACCTTTTTTGTTCATTTACTTTCCTTTTCTATTGCAAGTTTACTGCAATAATTTTTTAGATGAGACCAAGCATAATGTGCAATTTTGGGATTATAGTTGATCACTGATTACTAAAATGCATTTTCAGCATGTGCACAATACTGGTATGACATTACTTTCCTTAAAGTTGGGCAGAATTTTTAGGGTATTTTTACCTTCAAGATTATAAATAATATGAGTTTGTAATGTTTAATAATAGCTAACATTGAGCTACATTGAGCACTTCAGTATATTAGTTCATTCAGTGTCCAAAGCAACTAGTGAGGGAGAGATGTTATTGTCTTATATTCGTTTTACAGATGACACTGAGGAATAGGATAGTTAAATTAACTTGTTCAAAGTCCCACAATAAATAGAACTCAGATTTGAACTCAAGGTTCCAGCACCCCTAATTGCCACAATGGTATTATGCATTCAAAGTATTTGAAGGTACTATTATCATATTTGATTCTTATGAAATTCTTATAAAGATGGCAAAGTATGTGTTACCCTTTGTATTTTATGGATGGGAATACGGAGCCTCAGAGAAGTTATTCTGTGTTTTGTCCTTAGTTACCCAATTCCTTTTAGTATTCCTCGTTCTTTATATGGGCTCAGTTTTTATTATCCAGGGAATTGAATCAGAAAAAAATGTTATATAAAACAAATCAGAAATAATCTAAAACCTCAATCTTGTATTCAACCCTTGACTTCACATACTGCTTTCCGAACTTTTGAGAACTGCCTCTGTTTGAAATGCTGAAGCACACTGTCAGCTAGCATATGAGAAAGGAGACAAAACACACTTTTAGAAATTAAAAGGGCACAAGATTAATTGCTAACTAGATGAATCTTTCTCTAGTTAATTCAGAGTCAACATTGACATTTTCTTCTCTTTACATCGGGCTATATTAAGCATATATAATAAACATATATCATCTCTTTCTACATGTTTAAAATATATAATTCCCTCCCACATTTTAAAAAAGTTTTTTTAAAAATACAGCAACTTCAGAAGTCAGTAGGCTAAAAAAAATCAGTCGTTTCCTAATGATGATATTTTAATGTAGAATTTTGAGTGAAAAGCATTTATAAATCCAAGAATTTTCAGTTATTCATTGAAAGGAATATATTGCTGCTCTCTCCCAGCTTTCAGGTAGGAGGAACCTGTGCCTTCAGCCAATTTACTCTGAGGTCAGTTAAACTTTGAGTAGTCGTTACAACGAAGATAATCTGTTGGTATGACATCAAAATATTTTTGGATAAGAAGGAATACTATCACCTACAAATGGTACACATTTTTATAAAGCAAGCTACTGCTGGAGTAAAATATGGTATTAATGATAATGTCATAAATAGAATATGTTTGCCATTATATATTTTATACTGCATGGTACAGTAGCCATTAGCCACATGTCACATGTGGCTGTTTAAATTTTAATTATTAATAATAGCAGTTAAAACTTTTTAAAAATTCATCAGTTGCACTAGCCATATTATAAATGCTCAATAACCACATGTGGCTAGTGGTTATTGAATTGGATAATGTAGGTTTTAGAACATTTTTATCATCACAAGAAGTTCTGCTGGACCAGCACTACCAAAGTTCTTGATTGTCTAGAATGTAATTGTGAGATTAGGATCCAGGGGGTGGTATCGGTGGGTTCAGATTCTCCTGTCACTATAAAATAGTAAATTCAACAAGGGTTTAATAAGCATCCAGTTTGTCAGCCAGAAAGTAGTTTTACTGTGTTGTCCTTTTATGGTAATGGAATAGAGTGTCCTCAGATTTTTAAAGAATTATTATACTACTGTCTTTACATTTTGGTGTTCATTTACTATTTGGTTTTCCACTAAAAATAGGCATATATATTAGTAACAGGTAAAAATGGATTCAATTGCTTTTAATATGTTTGCTTAGTAATATATGTTTGTTCCTATTTCCCTCACCTGGCACAGGTAGAAGAGTCAGCAATGATGGGAGTAAGTGGCTACGTGGAGTATCTCCGAGAGCAGGAAGTGTCTGAGCGGTGGTTCCGGTACAACCCTCGTCTCACCTGCATCTACTGCGCCAAATCTTTCAACCAAAAGGGAAGCCTGGATCGCCACATGCGCCTACATATGGGGATCACACCATTCGTCTGCCGCATGTGTGGCAAGAAGTATACCCGGAAAGATCAGCTGGAGTATCATATCCGCAAGCACACAGGCAACAAGCCCTTTCATTGTCACGTTTGTGGCAAAAGTTTCCCCTTCCAGGCCATCTTGAATCAGCACTTTCGCAAAAACCACCCTGGCTGTATACCCCTGGAGGGGCCTCACAGCATCTCCCCTGAAACAACTGTCACATCTCGAGGACAAGCTGAGGAAGAATCACCTTCACAGGAAGAGACAGTTGCTCCTGGGGAAACTGCCCAGGGCTCCGTGTCCACCACTGGGCCAGATTGAAACATCGAGGGGGAGGGGGCAGACCCTCTTCCCCTTTGGGCCATAAGCAGCCAGCATCAGGGCCATGGGCTGGTACTTAGATTCACAAAATGCCACATCGCTAGACCAGAAGATGCTCTCAAGATGTTGCCAAACTAGAGGATCAGCAACATACACAAAAGCACTAAAGGCTCTACCCCTCCTCCTTCCCACCTCACACTTTGGAAAATACTCAAGCAAATCAACTTTTCTAATTCAGGGATCAACAGCCTTGGTTTGTTACCTTTATAAGAAAAAAATTTTTTAACAAAACAGTGATAAATGGTCATTTATCCACCAGTCATGTTGAACACTGTACTTTGGTCCATGTCATCTTCGTGGCTATAATTGCCCAGATTTTAAAAAATGCAGCAGGAGCCGCAGCCATCGGAAGCAGCCACCACAAGCGAGAAGGAGGTAGTCATGATGCTGACGAGGAGGAGGGATTTTTCCTCTTCCTTCCCTGCAGGACATGCATTTACATTTCCAGAAAAAACAAATGAATGCTGGTGATTCTTACTGTTTTGAAAGGTTAGACTTTATCTTTGCCCTGACTAGGTGTATAATACTTTGCCTGATTGTTTCATAAAATCAGCCATCTTGGAGCAGTATTCTAGTGGGCAGCGTCACCTGAAGCACTTTAGGCAACTGGAAATGGAATGAGCAGCAAAGTGTTTGTAATGGGCACTGCTGCATTTGGGGGCTTGAGTGCCGCGTTGAGGAAGGCAGGAGCAGGGAAGGAAGCGTTTTTATGTTTTGCAAATGTCGAGCAGCACAGAGCCATACTACCACTTCCTGACTGGTATTTGTAAACCATAGTGCTATACATCCTTGGGTGTTAGGAGATGGCTCTAGTCCAGATGAGTTAATGTGTTAGGCTGACTACCAAAGTTTCATCCAGTCTCTTCGGCTCCTAGTTTTACATAACAGCAATATTGTACGTCAAAAATGTCACTTTCCAGTGAGATGAGCCTGGATTGTATTTTTAAATCCACAGGTCTCCATATTTGATAACTTTTATATGAAGTTTTAAACATGTTTTTTCTGCAGTATTGTGGTTGAAGAAATTCAACACTATGGTTCTTATTGCAACCACAATTCCATTTCCTTCTACATATGTAGTAGTTTATATTTTCAGTCAAATAGAAGAACCTCACTTAAACCTATGTCTTGGGTCTGCAAACCTAGTAATTCATAAACCAACCATCAGCAAATTGCTGGTGACTCCAAGAGCTTTGCTTTTTAATAATACACTACAGGGCACTTACCAGAAAACATCATGCACAATCATGTTGCAATAAATGATCAAGGGATCAGTTTTTATCAGGTTTGGTTACTTAATCATTCCTAAGATTTTTAAAACTTTAAGGGACCTTTTTAGTAATTCTGGGTATTTCTAAGATTCTTAATCCAGCATTGAGAAAAAGATCTTACCGAATATGTAGAGCTGTAGATGCCCTGTCTTGCATGCAGAGAAGGAAGGAGGTATATTAAGGGATGCAGGCAGATAGATGCTTACGATTTACAGTGCAAAGAGAAAAATCTAGCTTCTCTTGATGAACCATTAATTTTTTTAAGCATTTAAATATGTAATGGTTTAAGAAATTGTTTTGGTGCAGAGGCATAAATGACTGTAAAAGAGATTGGGAGAGGGGCAGGTCATACCTGCACTGGTGAACCACTTGTGAGACTGTTAGTCATGTGTTCCTTTCCTGAGAATGCTTTGTAGTATGTGGAAAAGTGGGTAGAAACGAATGACATTTATTTGAGGTAAGAAATTGGAATGCAAAGTGTTGCTTTTAAGCAATCTGAGAATTGTACATATACATACAGCTGCACCCTATCACTAGAGAAAGGTTATTTTCTCTTCTGGAAAAGCATAGAAATGCATTTTTTATAGGAATGTAATGATGCTACCTTTAATAAGAGCCTACCCTTAAAGGCAGCATTGAAAATATATTTTGTCTTTAGGAGACATAGACTGGGGCATCCTCCTCTTTAGTTGGACAACAGCATGATAGAGTAAAGATTCTCCTAGAGCCATCTTTAGGGACTGGCTATGCTCTGCAGCTTAGAAAAGATAGAGCTGAAATTAGACTAAAATCTTTAGGGAAACATTTCAACTGGTAATAAGGCTTTCAATGGATTTTGCCATTACTGAATAGGCAGGGAGGTGAGAAGTACAGAATATGCTGCTGTTAATGGAACTTTACACCTACCAAAAGAAATTTAAGTCCATTCTACTTTTGAGGAATAGTATGCTGGAAAGTTCTTTGTTGCTTTGTTAATTTCTTAGATTATATGTGAGAATATAGAGCTTTTTAAACTATTACCAAATTTTAAAGGTGAAGTGCAGTAATTTCTGTAAAGAGAAACTTTGTAGCATTTGTCAGTACTCCATCCAGGGTTAGCAAGAAACATCTTAAATGAAGAAGTAGGGACTGTCTAAGTCATGTGGAAATGCTATGAGTGTTTGGTGGGTTCCCCCTCCCGTTTCATTCACTTCTAATAGCCTTTTCCTGTATCGATACTGTGAATAGAGTGCTTCTTGGTCGTCTAAGACCACTTCAGCACAATCATGTTTGCTGGTTCTCTCCTCTTAATTGGCCTAGCCAGAGCCATGAAATTCATGCACATTCAAGCCAGGCTAGCTTCTACACAAATTAAAGCTTCTGAAAGCAATTTCCCCATTTTAGTTAGAAGAGATATTATTATACTAAATAACTATCCAAGATTCTTATCCAAGTTCACTGTGACATTGTCCTAGTTCTTAGCTATCATCACTGGTGGGTTATAGGAGTTAGTAGTGTTCTGTCTACATTAATGAATACCTATATTGGTGTGTGCACGGATGATACCTCTTAAGGATGTACTAAGTGGACTTTAGCTGATGCTGAAAACTCATTACCAAATCTTAACTTGCACATGTTACCTTGTGAAGGGAACTGCATTAGCAATGGGAGCTAAATCGTCATTAAGTACTTTAATGCCATGAAATTGCAAACACTGGGACTGTTTTCATTTATTGAGTGGCATTTAATAGCAAAGGCGCTTTCCAGTATTCTCAGCAGAGAGATGGCAATATATTAACCTACTTTCATTCTAAGATGTACCTTTTATTCTCTCTGAACTCTGATGCCAGTATAAAATACAGCATTGGCATGGACAGTAACACTGTACTTAGGCAGAAAGGCTCTTTCTAATGACTTGTTCTTTTTATACTCAGAACCATATTTACCTCTGAACCAAGTTGAATTTTATGTAAGTTGCAAACTACCCACATCATTTTGTTATACTAGAGGGTTAAATCAAATCTTGAATATATGAAAATAAATTAGTCTGTAAAGGATAAAGATTGAAAAAGAAGAGAGCTGTTAAGGAAACTTTTCTCATTTTTTTTTAACATTTCTAGTTCCCTCTATATCAGTGAAACAGGGTTTTCCAAAGATGGTATGATAATAGAAATAGACTGTTTTCCCTAACTTCATACTTGAAATCTGGCTTGGATTGGAAGTGATGTGGCGAAAGAGTGAAGTAGGGAACTTTATTCTTAATAGCTGAATACTCTTTGGTCAAGAAATAACTTTTAGGCTGGGCGTTGTGGCTCACGCCTGTAATCCTAGCACTCTGGGAGGCCAAGGCAGGAGGATTGCTTGAGGTCAGGAGTTTGAGACCAGCCTCAGCAAGAGCGAGACCCCCGTCTCTACTGAAAATAGAAAGAAATTAGCCAAGCAACTAAAAATAGAAAACATTAGCCAGGCGTGGGGGAACGCGCCTGTAGTCCCCGCTACTTGTAATCCTCCTACTGAGGCAGGAGGAACACTTGAGCCCAGGAGTTTGAGGTTACCGTGAGCTAGGCTGATGCCACGGCACTCTAGCCCAGGCAACAGAGTAGGACTCTGTCTCAAAAAAAAAGAAAATAACTTTTACAGAGTTTACTTGGTACTAATTGTGTTTCTTCTAACTGGTGAAAACTAAATTTTGTTTGACTAAAAGATCTAATTTAAAGAAATGAAAGTAATGGATAATGGAAAATAAATTGAACAAAGACAGAAATCATCTTCATACTGGAAAAGCATGTAATCAGGAAGGCATTGGAATCTGAAGTTTTTCTCTTTTCAGGTACAACAGGTGTTTTTTCTATTCCTCAAATGTGCTTTCCCTTATCTGTGTACTTACTTGTTCAAGGAATAACAGATGAGTCTTTCTTGAGTTCAGTCTTTGCAAATGGAACTCTTATGCCATATGGGAAAGAGTTTAAAATATTGATGTATTTTGGTTACTAAGATATAGAAAAGGGACAACAATCAATTGTCAGGTAAACCCCTAAGTTTGAGAGGATGCCCTTAGCACAGTATATCCCTAAGATTTATGAATTAGACCAGGGTTCAGCAAACCTCCTGCTTATGTGAAGAAAATGCTAATGGAACAGGGCCACACTTGTTTATTTAGCTATCGCTTATGACTTCTTTCCACTGTGATGGCAAAGTTGAATACTTGTGACAAAGACCACGTGGCCTGCAAAGCTTGAAAATATTTGCTGTCTGGCACTAAATAGAAAAAATGTGCCAACTTCTCGAAGAATTACCCCCCAAATGTGTCACTCCTGGCCATTTTGCCTTTATGATACTTTGGGTGAGGTTTTAAATTCATATTGTCACGTGTTTCTTGAAAGAATTTGTCATCTTTTTCTAGATCCTCTTCTCATAACCCTCTTTGTCGTGATTCCCATTGCATTAAAGGCATTCAGAATGGGTCTTGTGATTTGCCCTTGCCTTAAAGGTGCAGGTAGACTAAACTGTAGGTTGGTAGTCATAGCAAGGTAACTCTTAAAAATAATTCCCACGGTAGGGTTAAATGGGTACCACCATGTTTACAAAAAACACTGTTAAAAAAATTAATGTTTTTATAAGTAAGTTTTGCCATTCCTCTGAGTGAACTTGAACTAGTTTGCATAATGATGGCAAGAATGAATTTATTCC